AAACAAAATTTATTTTAAATAATATAAGAGGAAATAAACCGTAAAATGAAACATTTTATTTAAAATAAAAAATATTTTATTTAAAAGAATAATACATCGCCATAGATTTAATGTTATAACATTTGCGATTCGGGAATACAATTCTATGCTTATTTTTTAATTTTAAACTCACTGTAGCAAATTTTTTAAATAGCTTTAAACGCAAATTATGACAAACAATTATGACAATATGATCTGTGAGAACAGAATCAAATTTATTGACTAAATAAGTATGTAAATTTACATTACGTATTTTTTTAAAGTAAAGACTATAATGTCTATAAATATTTTCCAATTGTAAGAAAACTTGAAATGTTGCCTTACTAACAAAGTATAACATATTTGCGTTGTAACATTTAATTCTCACCAGTTCAGAAAATTAAAATTTAATGGTTTTTTTTTGAGCCAACAGATTCTATGCAACTACATGAGATACATGTTTTTTTTAACAGATGTCAAACAATATTCTGCAACATTATATGAACAATTCATCTCTTTGTTATTATACGTTATTGTTGAATTATTATCAAAAGGAGGAATTTGATCTATGATTTCAGTAGATGAATGAGATACAGAATTATAATAGATACGTCATTTTTTTTACACTTTAAATAATCTATAAAACCAAAAAGGTATTCACTATTATCAGTCTCATAATTTCCTGTCAATATTGGTTTCGTATACATCGATACAACTAAAAATTTCAAATTATTTTTAAATTGTAAAGGATCTAAAACTGGATTTTTGTGTTGCAAAAGTGAAAATAGATTTTCTATACAGTCTTGTGTAAGATGACCAGTTCAAAACAAATTGAAAATTGGAATGTTCTAAAAGATACTCTACTAAATTAATAATTGATGTTGTAGAGAGTATGATGCCTCTTTGTAGGTTTACATTTATCTTCACTACCTATTTTTATTTTCGTAAAAAGATCCATTATTTCATGAAGAAAAGAAATGTTAGCATTGCATATTTCTTTATTTCTTGTACCCAATGCTGTACAACATGTTCTCATTAGAAGTCATTAATGAGAACCACTTAGATAGTTGTTTAACAAACCATGGGGTTGTATATTCTGGATTATGATTTTCATTAGCTAAAAATTCTAATGCACTACTGACATGAGTTGAAAAAACATTTTTTGCTTTGTTTACACGCATTTTATTGTGAGTATTAATAGTTTTGATATCATTAATATTTATCATTAATATATAATCTAGGCGTTAGAAAAAATTCGAGATCTTTCTGAGATTCTATTAATTCATTAAAATATTTAATTTCAACTTTGTTACATGGTAATTTATACTTATTAACAAATTCTTCTGGCAAGATAAAAAATTTGTTGTTAAGTAATGATTCTTTTACATTTTTCAAAAGACGTGGTACATCTGCAATAAAATATAGGAATCTATTAGGATCAGAAGGATGGGGAATACAATTTCTAAATATCGTCCTACACTTATCCCACGACATTTCCATAGTTTGCCATTTCCAGGACCCATATCAGAAGTTGTATAATTAACGAAGACCAATTATTTCAGCTTTATGAATTATCTGTAAAATGATATCTTTTAAAACTGCTCCATCAAATGAGTCTGTATAAAAATGATCCACAATATGCTTCCATTGATTAGCTGTACATGTTAACATTAATGTTAAAGCATGTGTTGCATTACCTTCTTTATTTGGAAATGTTATATTTCCTAGTAATGTTTTCGGTGAAGAATCATAAACACATTTTGGTGTTCTACTTATTTCATCAATAACAAGCCCACATTCTTTATCAATGTCATTTTGAAAAGAAGATACTTTAAATTGTAAAAAATCGAACATTTCGTTTATAAATACCACTCTCAAATTTTAAATTTTCTAATCTTCATTGTAAAGTGCGCAAATTTGGAAGTGATATTCTTTGTTGTAGAAGCTCTTCATAACCATTAGTACCACAAATAAACCTCAATCTAAGTGCACGTTGAACAGTTTTATTAAGCCAATTTGTTTTTCGTTTTTTTGTTAATAAAATTTTAATTTGATCTTCACAGAATACTTCCTTTAAAGCTTTTTTATATTGATCATTATTATTTTTATTTTCAAGTCTTAATATTCTACATCTTAAAACTCTCATTTTTTTTGCGCAAATTAAATGAATTTGCATTTTTCGATTTATTTCTTCTAATTTTTTATCTGTTTCTTCTTTTTCAATCGATTTTTGTTATACTTGAAGTACATTTTGTTGATGTATTAGGATTGATTATTGATGCATTAACTTCAACGGTTTCATTTATAGCTATCTAAAAGATGTATTTATTATAAATATTTATAAATATATATACTTCTTTCATTGATTTTTATCACTTTTATCATTGATTTTACCTGTTCATCATTTACAATTTGATCTTCTTTGCAATCGTCAAAAATAAACCTATGTATATCCTCAACTACATCAAAATTTTGATTATTAAAAGGTACTTTCTTCTTTACAAAGTATTTGAAAATTGTTGGCACTGCATTTGGTTTTAATTTCTTTTTATTATCCATTTTCTGTTCCCACATTTTAGGAACAAAATGCATCTGTAATAATATAAAAGAAATCAAAAATTCAGAAAAATATTATATATGTGTATACCATTTCATAAAATATTATATATTAAATATCGTAATTATCATATTATTTGATTTAGACTTACAATGCAATGATATATAATTTAAAAAATTACGACAAAAAGAGAAAAAAAAGTTAAATTCGTAACCAATGTGATGACTACATATACTTAGTGCCAAGACACTATCGTGTCTTCAGATATTATAATTAATCTGTGTAAATTTTATGTTACATTTTTATTTTAATATTTTAAATACATTATTTATAAAGAATAAATTACTTTACCTCACATACAGATGAATTTTTTGACGGTGTCCAATTTTTATATTTGCCATTTATACTCGTTAACCAATTCATTCGGCATTCTGTGTCTTTCGGAATTATTTTCATAACATGTCCTTTTTTTAATGATGAATTATTACAAAACGGTATTGTACATCCAATCATATTTCTAAAATAATTTCGATAACTTTATTTTTATTAATGTACGTATCTATGTCGTTTAATGCTGTTATACCTAACCCTAAAACTGACAGTCTGTTGGATAGACTGAGATCGTATATCTCTTTCTCTCTCGCAGAATTTAGCTAAAACATGGCGTCATCTCTCGTATGCCGCCACTCTGATTATAGGTTCTCTATTCGATTTACGATCCGATTTTTGTTTTTACTAGTGTTCTGAAGACAAATTTCTTACGGTTCTGTGCAGATTAAATTCTAAATGCGGCTTTAAACATTTACACCGCGGTAGTTTTGAAGTACCTTTAAAGATCAACCTTGGGCCCTCCACCATCCACATTGATTTTTAACAGCGATCCTCTTTTTTATTTTAAATACCAAGTTACAAAATAACTATAATAAAACGTGTTATATTACGGTTTTAATGTAATAAATTACCACCTAAGAGACACGATATGTTTAACTTTGTGCTTTGAATATTTTCATGTTTACATACAATTTACTATTTTTTATGCAATGTATTTTAATACCGAATTATAGAAAACAAAAAGAATTATAATGTACAAAGAATAATATAATAAAATGTAATGCAACATAAAATAGAATTAAATTTTATATAAAATATAAAATACATAAATTGCTTATACATGTTTATAACATTTTCTTTAAAAAAGATATCTTATATACTTACAAAATTCAAATAATAACATAAAATTCATATATGATTCAAGAAAATCTGAATTCTGACTCAGCAATAAGAATCATTACATTTTCATTTAGTAAATATTTTAATAATACAACGTTTATCATTGAACAAATGCTTTAATTCCGTACCTTCTAATAAAAATAAAAATTGCTAAATTTTAAGATATTTGAAACGAAACATTCAAATAAATTAATTTAATGAAATTTGTCTTAAAGCGTCTGCAAAAATGGAATTACGAAGGTAACGTCTTTTCTATTGTCACAACTATGTTTGATAAAAACAAGCAGACTATAACATTGAAGTAACAAATACGTTTTTGGTGCAGAACATTTTTCACAATTTAATCAGCAATCTACAGTAAAAAGAGAATACTTGGTGGAATACTTTCTTAGCTTGTTGAGAATTAAACCCGTGTAACAATCAGTTCCAAAACTTTGATTTCCTCTAATATAACGGTATTATTTTATACATTTAGGGGTCGCTGATACTGCCATACCATTTTGTTTTTAGACAATATTTCTTAATTAAACAAAAGATAAAAATAAACTTTAAATACATAAATACAAACTAAAAAGTGTTTTCTATCAGATAATATAAGCAGTTTTTATAATATTATTTGTAATTTTGCAATAATTAATTTTTTCGTAAGATAAGCAAAAATAAATTCGATAAAAGAACGTCCAAAACTAAGTAGGCAGTAATATAATATATGCCACATATTCCTATTCTTTTTTTTAACAGAAATTATCTGTATAAAATACCTACATGTAAATGTATATAAGATTTTTCAGAATCTTTTTACTTCAATATAAAACATTTTTGCTAAATTATATGTGTAATTACTTTATGCTGTTATGCCAGATGTAAATATGTAACACGATAGTTTCTTATATGCTGTAACATTACTCCGATATAGTTATTTGGCATTATAAAGCAACATTAAGAAAATTAAGTTAATACATGGTATGTTTAATAGACAGTTGTCGGTTTATATTGCATCCTGATTTTATATTTATTAAATCGTATTATATTATAAAAAATTAAGAAAGAAAAAATAATATAAATAAAACTGATTTAGAAAATTACATTTAAAACGATGTAATATTATTAATAATACAGTCACTGTGTGCGAGAGTGCACCGCGCGAAAAGATTCGAGTGAGAAAATGGCACAAGGTTGATATGATGCACGATAGTAAAGAGAACTCCGTTTCTTTGTAATTTAACAAAAGAATTTTCTTTAATATGCTCAGTTACAAAGTCAAAAAATATAATTAATTAAATATTAGATTAACAGAATATTAAATGCAGTCACCTTTTCCAAATGATATTTTGGAATCGCGGTAATGAAAAATCTCGGTGATTTTCTCGGCACTTCTCGAAAGATTCGTTTTATAGCGGTTTCGCTAAGCGGTTAGCACGGCGATTTTACGAAGCGAGATTATGACTCTAAGAACTCTAAGAACTTTTAGATTCTAAGAACTACGGACTCTAAGAAGGAGGCCGGCGAGATCGAAGCATTTATTGCTTTCGGCCTGGGCTTTCTTCTTGGGAAAAATCCAATAAAATTTTGCCACAATCGTAATTATTACGTGGCATTAGGTGTACAAAATTGATTGGCGCTTTGGATTCTTCTCTTACGACGTTCAACGTAACAGCCATGCGCGACAGAAAATCCGTGCGTGGGATTGGTGACAGCGCGTGACGTATTCGTCGGAGCGCGGCGCTCGCGTGCGCGAATTGAATTGTTCTAGAACTTTCGATTGTCCGTTGCCGGTAACTGTTTGCGTGTACCGAATTGTTTTGAAAAGACTAAAGAACGATGAATCCCTGACTTTGACGAGGCTTAATGTCAGGGCCGAGATGCTTGTGCGTGCGTTCAATAACAATTACTGTCGGTCGCCCGAAGGAATTCTTACTTTTTTTTTCGAATTACCGATCTCAAACACACTGTTATTTAAATTACGTAATTTGCAAAAGAAAATCGTAAGAATTTTATTTTCGCATTCATAGAATTCGTTTTTTAGCTGATTTTTGTAAAAACAAGTCAAAAATATACGAATTATGGGTTTACAACTTTTTAATTAACTAAACAGTTAACAGATCATGTTTTGGTTAGTAATATTAAATGAAGTGCAGTAATTAGTTTCTGAGAAATAAGAAGGTGTCGCTTTAGAAAATCTATAACAGTATCGGCGATTTTCCTTTATATTCATATTATTCGCTCTTTTATTAATTTACATTACAAAAAGAGATAAAACATCATAATAAGTTCATTATATATTATATATCTTTATATATTAGCTTCTTTTCTATCATTTTACAATCCATCCATATGTATAGATATAGGACGGTTCCTGTGATATCTTGTGCGTGTTTATTAATAATATATCTGAATTTTTACAGTGAATTAAAAAAAAGAGAGAGAAGGCAAAACAATTAGCCGAAATCAAATTTTATTTGCAGCATATTAGTTTAAACCTTTTACTTTACGAAAATAAATACTATATTTATAATAGTGTATACATGTAAGTACATAAAATTATGTGTGTGTGTATATATATATATACAGGATGGCATGAATATACGGCCCCATTCGTCCCGAGCAGGTAGAGTGAGCTAAACTAAGTAGAAAAGTCCTCTACCATTTTGTAATGCTCGCAATAATTAACGAGATATTAAAGATAGCCGAATATGCGCGTCCGCTTGACTACTATTGTCGAAGATTCGGCCTACCGAACGTACGGCGCGCGGGCCGCGAGGAGCGGGAATGGCCTAGCAGGCGCGCAGCGCCATTTGAGCTTAGATACTCGCGACGGAAAGCCTACCTGCTCGGGACGATTAGGCCGTATATTCATGCCACCCTGTATATGTGTAAATATTTTGAGAATAAAAATAAAAAATAATAGTAAAATTAACATCACGTTTTATGTTTACATTAATAAATTATATTATCATTATAAGAATAATTGTACTTACCTTTCTATTACAAAGAGTAAATTATTAATTTCATATATCTTCAATACATCAAATATTTTATTAAAGTTGTCAGCTTCAACTTAAATCGCCATGTGTCGTTAGAAACCATGTAAATAAAAAGCATCTATTGAGCACGTTTACTTAGCACGTACGAATCTTACGATTTTGCTTAGAATTGATCCATTAGTTTGTAGTTTTAAAAACTAATGAGTCAATTATAAGCAGAATCTAATTAATTTCTAATTACAAATTAATTCAAATCATGCACTTTTGAATCACGTAGAGGAGCTATAGGAGAGATCTTCAAATCTCAGAAATTAAAAATTTTTTGAGCTACGAATCTTTGAAAAGAACATTAATTTTTTGACCAAGAAAGAAATAAAATTCCTTTTAGAGTCAAACAGAGTTGATGAAAATCAATATCTGATCGAGACAATTAATCAAACAAATAAATCAAATTATAGCGCATACATTTTGATCCTCGGTTTAAGTCCTCTTCAATATAGGAAGAATGTTGGTCGCAGTATAAAGATTGCAGCACAGAATTTGCTTAACATTTAATGTACTAAAAGTGGAGATGAAAATAAAGGATTGATTGATTCTCTCATGATTGCGTTATGTATTACGCAAAAGCCGGTGCTTTCTCTCAGAGTTAGACTTAATAATTCGCCAACAAACTAGAGCAATCAAGAAAGAATCTCTCGACATTGCAGAAGTATAGGACATTTTCTTCGCATCTTATAGCGAGGAGATTAAATCATTAATCATGGTTTAAGGATCGAGGAACAAGCGATTTAATTTAGCGAAGCAAATCGATAAAACAATCAGAGACGCATAGGCTAGACGTATTCTTGAACCTCTTGAGGAATCACGGGAGTGCACGTGATGCGTCGTAAATCATCAAGTGTTCCGTGACCGAAGGCACGCGTGCCGCGAAGTCGCGCGATGCAAAAGCGTCCGCTCGTTAGAGTAATAAGTAAATATGCGGGGCATTTATTATACCGCGCTCCAAACCTTCCTTCCTTCCTTCCTTCCTTCCTCGCTGCTTCAGTCACGGCCAACGATCGATCTCGGCGTTGCCCGTTCGGGTGTTAATAAATGGGAATTTCAAGAAACTGTAGTCAGGCGCCACTTTCCTAATTGATCCTAAGTGCATCCAAATGTCGAATTTCATCCCCTTATGAGATCTCTCGGTCAATGTAACAATTCCACAAAGGATTCTTCTCGTAGTCGTTTCTTTTGCGTCATGTAAAAATATATCATAAAATAGAATAACTTTGGTCCAGTCAGGATAAATAGACTTTTGAGATCCAAAATTATCCTTAATTTTAAGATTCAAATTAGGACATAAGACGTTTTAAAGTGTTTTTAACCCTTGATTGTATTATATCAACGGGTCATTTGGCTCCAAAGAAGACACACAGGACAAAAAGTATACGATTTGTACGATTGGTACATGAGATTTAAATCGTAGGTAAAAAAAATCTTCCTCTATCAATCACCCTGAGGGAGAAGTTCTTAAATTCTATTTACTTCAAACAAGACATTTTAGAACTTAGGTGGAGTTTTTATAATTACAGTTGAAGATTAAGATATTTTTAAAAAGTCGTATTTCTCGATTTCGACATATGTGCTGTCTGGATCAAAAAAACCTAGCGCTAATTAAGTATATGGAAAATTGGGTTCCAGTAAAATAAGTTAGTTACATATAATGTAGCTTATAATATAGTGAACAAAAAGATGCTTAGACCGAAGGGTCAATATACTCTGTGAGCACAAGATTTATACTTTTAATAGAACATAAACTCAAGAATTATCCAATATTGAGTCTTTTATTATATTAAGAATCTTTATTTTAAATCGCATGTGTGAGCAATTTAAAATGCCTATTAGTCAAAGATGGATCTTCATTGCTTTAAATAATTAAATCTTGAATTACTAATATACACTATATATGTACTTGCATATATATCATGTTGTAGTCTTTTTGAATTGCGCGCTGAATTTTTCCGGATTACAAACGCAATTAAAACTCTAGTAATCGCGAATTAAATTGACAAGCAATTTTAATAATTTGATGCTACCATCAAGCATATTACAAAGATGTTAATATGTTAAAACTCTTAATAAATTTATTGCAAAAAATATTACCTCGGCCAAGACTTGAACCCGGATCTCTTTTATTTGTCACATTATAAGCTACATTATAAAAAAACCTAATTCATAGAGATCTAATTTTCCAAAGTAATTCTTTAAGAGATTCTTTGAGTCAAAGTTACCTCAAATGTCGGGCAAAATTACCCTATTTTACGTATATGATATTCATAGTCAGGTCTTATATTTAGACTTCCTTAAATTTATCTTCAGATGCTCTACGAATTATTTCAGTGCCTGCTGAATATCAATCTGCGGACAAAAATCTGCCGAATACCTAACTTAGATATTTATTGAATGTTATCCAAATATATTGAATGTTATGCAAATATCACAAAATAGATAAATATCAGAAACATCTACTATAGATATTCGCGTGTTATCTAAATATTTACATCATCTAAGTGATAACCTTATCCGCTAAAGGGATAAAATGCTTATGCTACAATTCAAGTAGTAGATAAAGTTATTACGCAATATGAAATTTCTATGTATAAGTGCAATAGACATTTGTGTAAACATTCACTAGATATATATGATTAATAAATATTATGATATACAACAAATGAAATTAATGTTTGCAATGAAATCTAATAAAATTATATCTTTTTAAATTAAATTAAATTATATTAGCGTAAAAAAATTAATCTGTCTCTCCAAAAAATTTTTGGTTGACTACAATATAAGATGTTAATAATTACTATAGTTAATTTATTTATCTCTTATGTGTTGTCAAGTTTGTGTTTTTAAATATTGTTTAAAGTAATATACAATATTATAAAATAATAATATATAATGTTACTAATAGAAAAGTTATTCATCTAATTGTAGCTATTAAATGGTTAAATTTAATTTACGTAAAATTTTACTATATAAACAGAAAAGAAGAGAAAAAAGAAATAAACTATGGAAAAATAACGTGAAATGTAACATGTGCTTGAGAAGAAAAACAAGAAACGTATTACGTAGCTGTATTTATACAAACAACGTACGAAACAGTTATCGCTAATGTTTCTCATATATCACCAGTAATGTTTAAGATCAATATAAAAAGCAGCAGTACAGTTACTAACATGATTTCAGTAAAGGATTGGAAACTTGTCTTGAAAAATTGCAGGCAAGAGAAGGAGAACAAACGGTAAAGAAAAAGAGAAAGGGGAAAGAAAATAAGCTAATATAATATGCTGATCGTTTTTGTTTTTTCTGTTAGCTAGAAGTATCAGTTTTTGTGAGATAGTGCGACAATATGGATAAAGACAGCGATATGAAGCCAAATCCCAAAGAGACTGCAAATGTCTTCAGTGTTCTATTCTTCTGGTTTGTCAAGATTCAATATATTCAATAAAAGAAAGAAAAAAAAGAAAAAAAGAACAAAATATGCAAGACATTGTTTCTTACGAAAAATCTAAATTTTTATAAAAAAGAAGAGATTCCGAAAAATTAGAATTTTTTTCTTAGAAAGTGAGATTTCTTTAAAAAAAAAAAAAAAATTTTCTTTATAAGCAAAATTATATTTCTCCATAAATAATAAATGAAAAAGACTTTCGCTTATATTGCGTTAGCTACTTTTAATCTCAATGTACAATACATTTTATGGTTTACTTCAAGAAAATGAAAAGGCATTTCGCAAATTTTCCTGCTATTCAAAAGAACGACATATAACTTACGCCGAGTCATCCTCTTATCTATTTTTTTTTACATATCAGTTGCCATTTGCAGTAATTAAAAAATTAATTATGTCTTTGTATAACTGAGCCATATTAAGTTATTATTTATTATTAACAAATATGTACGTGCACGCATATTATCGAATATAAGAGAAAATTTATTAATTTTTTCTTAGATTACAAAAACAATCACGGTTTTTCTAATCATTCACTGTTAAAATAAATTTACAATGGAAAATACATCTATAAGATGTTCGTAAAGTATCTACTTAGCCTTTGATTCTCTGAATTATATATAATTATGTTGATGCTAAGAGAAGAAATAATTATTTCGGGATATTTTAATGTATTTACAATTCACGGCTAAAAATTTATGTGTAATTTATGTAAAATATATATTTAAATATATATCTGCAATCTTCGAGTTTGCATATATTATATATTTCTCATTATTGATAAAAAGAAAAGGAAAAAGATAGCTTCAGGACAGTCTTTGTATCGTAATATAAAGAAGTATACTAGTGTAAAATCTATATAGATTGTTTTTGATGCGCACAGATGGATGCGAGAACTATTTATGATAAGCTTCAAGCATGATTTAGAGGAATCCGACATTTATCAAGGCGACCAATCAAGGCAGACGAATTTGAAAAATTGATCGATCATCTTAAGAAGTGAGTATTGTTCATGTTGACGTCAACAAACATACATAAGTAAATGCATATTATATAGTGACGCTCGTAATAATCAAAATTCTCACTTTCGCTATAATGGAATAATAAATGAATCTTAACAATTGTTTTAAAAATACAAGTGTAATTTATATTATATGCATCGTACAATTTTGATACTTATTTTATTTTGTGGCGTTCATTATTTTACATTAGATATATACTCTTTGAACCCTTTAAAATGAGAACGTAACAAAATACGAAGAAAGAAAAATTAAAAAGTAAAATTGATAACTTAATACTCGCTTTTCTAAAATCCTAATGCATTTTTTTCGCCCAGATACTGGAATCGCAAGATCGCTGGATAAACTAAAGAACTTGGAATATATCGTGGGAAAAAATGGGCAGAAGGTGCCGCTGAAAAAGAAGTCTCGTCCAAAATTGTACAAGGCGGTCTATAAAATCTTTTGGTTGCCGATATTTCATAATCGGAATCTGCTCATTTATCCAAGTATATTGATAATTTTAAAAAGAGATACCTACCATGTGATATTAACATTTACGAAATTTAGATTAAATGTGTTTATGTGGAAAAAAGTGTTATAAGATACTTCCACTAAGAGAAAGAAATAATAATAGAAAAATTTATTCTGTTAGATTAATCCTTTGTTAGATTTAGAGATGCATCAGATATTCAGAAAGAATTGCCAGAAATCAGTTATTCAGCAATCTTTTTCTGGTGCATCTCTATATATAATTAGATTTAGTTAATACTTATAAAGAAGAAAAAAATTGATCTGAATTAATCTGAGATTTCTCTATCTCTCCCTTTCTCTTTCCTTTTTGCTCGCTCTTCTCAGATTTATTAAATTTATAAATTTATTTTAGGAGGGAGAGGGGGTAATTAAATTTCAACTTTTCCCTTTTAGTATAGCGTAATACGCGTAATGGTACCGATCTTGCAAAGTTGGATCATCAAATACTTCATTAGTGATCCTAACGCGGAACATAAAAACTCTCAACGAATGAAATGATGATCTACATCACCTTCCTAGTCATTATCAGTGTCATCACCATTATTGTTGTTACATCACTCAGTCATGCAATCGTTACATGTTAGTATCAGGATACGTATCGCCTGCAGTTCTCTTCTCTATCGGAAGATAATAATGCGAATTAACTAATGAGCAGAGTTGGGACGTTACCTTAAAAAAATAACGCGTTACCGTTACAGCAGTTACTTTTTGTTAAAAAAAAATAACTTGTTACCGTCACTAGTTATTCATTATAAAAACTAATGTAATACTTGAAAAAATAACGAATAATTACTTTTCGAGAAATTGTTGAATTTAATTCCCTCACGATATTGATAAAATTAATTTTATTCGACTCGTTTTAACACAAGGGCCAAATCTGGCTCAAAAACAATTGTTGGGAGCTAAACTCAACAATTGCCGAATTTAAATTATGAATTTAAATTAAATATGGCTTTTAAACATTAATGTCATTATTAAAAATGTATTTTAAGATTCACTTCCAGTACTGAAAAATAATACATATGTAATGTGAATTACAGCTTTTCAATACTGATAGTGATTATTAGAATGCAGTCTAAAATATAAAATATAAAATATTTTTTAAGAAATAAAAATGAAAAAGTGAACATTTTGTAATTGTATTTATTGCAATTAATAATCTCTTATTATAAATAATACAATGTTAAATTGTAAATATATATTTGTAT